AAACACCAACTTTTACGAATATTCCTCCGACAAATGTGTTTTCCAAAGCAACAAATAATTTTTTCGAGACTCCTGGACCACATCAAAAATTATTGACGATATCGAAAAGGAGTGGATGAATCATAAAAATAGCGTGTCAACACAACCATCTTCATCAACCAAAAAATTTGCGCTTGAAAAATTACCGGGACGTAACTTACGACAATGTGCGGTGTGTAGCAACAGAAGGAGCGGGATCAAGCGATCCCGCCTTATTTGCGCTTGTTGTAAAAAAGGCCTTCACGCTATTTGTGCGGCAAAACATAGTTGTTATACATAAATTTTTCATGTAAGAGTCAGTGATCTTCCCCTAATCAAAATGATCCTTTACGTGCTAATCATAAGAGAAGATCAATAAACTTTAAGTTATCTTTTTATAAATTTTAATTTTCAAAGAAAAAAACAATTTAATGTTTATTTTTTCTTATTCACAATCACAATTAATATTGTTTCTTTATAATACGAAAAGAATTATTAAAATTGATTGATATTTGTCTAAATGAGAGTGTTTTATTTGACAACATCAAGTCAAAATATGTCCCGCAGTTTTCGTGCGTTCTTGCAAGAATTGCTTAGCAGTCAAACGGTTAAAACGCTTTGATTTTCCTGTATCTCATAATCTATTTGCTTGTTGTAAGAATAGTTATACTAACAAATTCAAATAGTTGAATGGTGTATGATTTATTTTGTCCAGCACTGTAGCTCGCTCGTGAACATAGCACAGAACAGAACCAAATAATTATGGACATAGCACGGAATAGTACCAACAAATCGTGGACATTGGCTTAGTAGTTCATGTCCATGAAAAATGGACCCAGTTGGCGCTTCGAATCAGCCAACTTTTCCATAACGCTGTAAATGCAGCCATACCCGCTCTCAGGCTTTTCTCTCTGGCCCGAGTGAGTAAGACAAGGACAGCGCGATCGATCGTTCATCCTTGTCAAACTGACCTGACCCAACCTTTCTGCTCTTGCGCTCGCACGCACGGCATTGGTTCGCATTTTCGCCGCACGAGGCCCTCAAGATTCCAATACATGGGAGCGTCGAGCGTCGAGCGTCAAAGCGTCCAACCAATCAGTTTTTCATTTCTTATTTCACGGATAAAAACAAGGAACTTTGATTGGTTGGACGCTTTGACGCTCGACGCTCGACGCTCCCATGTATTGGCACCTTCAAAGTCAACTCTGGATTTGCCTCTGGCTCCTGCATATTGTAACGCCCTACCATATTAAAATTTCCTATCTTCTCACCAAAACTCACCATACCTTTTCCTACCCAATCAAATCCTTACCTATCATCGACTAATCCAACTGCAACGTCTCCTACAAACACCTCTGCAATTAACAGGTACCTGTGCCGTCTTTTATCGTTAATATAATATAATATAATATCATTAATACTCGAAACTACTTACTGAATCATCATCTATCTTCTTCTTTCTCTCTCTTCCTTCTACCTTCTTGCTTCGTTTAGTAAGCGATAGATTATCAAACAACTAAATAACATAAAAATAATCATAAATAGCATATTTTGAAATAAAATTAACATTAACATAGGACTGAAGCAGACATCGACATAGTAAATATATAAAATAGGAAAAGAGAGAATAAGAAAATTTAAGAAATAAATTTAGAGCTAGCTTATAAATTCATTTGTCTCGGGGACTAAGAACGATTTTGTTCGGGCACAGCCGCACACATATTGGAATGTGTTTATGTTATAGATATCATCGAGTGATAGCTGTCCCACGTTCTGCGAACTAAACAAAGACCTGAAACAAAGACTTGAAGAGGAAAATAATTTCCTTTCTTTCTTCTATTTTTTCTTTTGAAATGATATTAAATAATTGCCATCATATTTCGCAAATAATTCCTCAAATATTATTGTCAAACCGCCTATCCCAATGTATATGCGCTTTAGAATTGTAAGAGGATTTATTCGTATTATTTAACTTTAATGATTACTACGCCCGAATGAAATAATTCTTTTAAGTTTCCAAATTCTTATATTATATCAAAGGAAATCAATAACAACATTTCTATTTCTTAGTAAAACATAATTTTATTAATAAATCAGCCAACAACGAGACAACTGAATTACCAAACGCTACATATGATTAAGTATAATTTTAATTACTAGATAATAACATTTTTATATTTTTTAACCAATAAATAATGAATGGTGAATTAAGAAAAGACGCTCAATTGATATCCAGTGTCGGGCTTGGGTATAAAAAGGGCTCGGCCCTTCGCGCGCAGGCAGTCTCTCGGCAGTCTCTAGGCAGTCTCTCGGCAGTCTCTAAGCAGTCTCTCCGCAGTCTCTCCGCAGTCTCTCGTCAGTCTCTAAGCAGTTTCTTGTTAGCCTCCAATTAGCCATCAGATAGTCTTTCGCTGAGCCTCTTGTTAATCGATTGCCAAAGGGTCTAGAGCCTGGAATCAAAAGGTCGATATTAAAGATTATTGTTCTTGGGACTCCGTCTGCAAATGCTAAGACGTTTGTTAAGACGTAAAATCCAAATCATTAAAGGTCGAACGAGCCTCTTTTCTTCATAATGATACTATAGAGAATCATTTCTATTACTTGAATAAGTATTGAGCCAGCTATTAACTACATTAAATTTAGTGTGTGAATTTTTAAACTTAACAATATAAAGTAATTTCATAATATATATATATGTGTACAGATTTCTTTACCTCTCTTCCCTCTTATCATCTTCAATCTTTTTCCAGAACGCCGTGCTTGAACCACGAACACCGTTCTTCTTTTCTTTACCTTAAGAGTGTTGTGCTTGAACTACGAGCACCATTCCTCCCTTTTTCCCAGAACGCAGTTGAACCACGAGCACAGTTCTTCTCTTCCTTACTTTAAAGCCCTATGCACAATGAAAACCACAGGCAATAGGAACAGGGAACAAGGAACAAGGAATAAGAAATTATCGCCATCAATTCACAATGCTACTATAGCGACAAGAGCGGTCCAATCAGAACTCAGTGATATAAATTTCGCACATAACCTACAAATACAAATTGTCATTACAAAATCGTACAATATATCGTTGAAAGCATTTTGGAAGCACAAACAAGTAAGTATTTATATTTATTAGGTATATCATTATTTGAGTTACGTAAATCGTAATGTTCATTAATATTGCTTTTCATAGGTTTTTTCAATGGATGATCATTTCGAAGATGATTTGTTGCTGCTATGCAATTATCCATGTTAGGATTGTACAATATATGGAGAAAGAAGAAAGGGCTGGATTAATAGGAGATGGTGGGTGCGACCCATAAATGTAAGACGTGGCGAGTATGGGGACTTTGCAACCCTTTTTATGGAATTGGAGGAAGATGCTGATCTCTTCTTTCGATATACAAGAATGGACGTGGACACATTCAACGAGCTTCTACAAATGGTTCGCCTTATTTACAAAAAAGAAGCATGAGAAAACCAATTTGCCCAGAGCAACGGCTTGCGATAACACTAAGGTAAAACATAGTTGTGTTAAGTCCTATTCTAACATTTTAGAGATACGCTGTAATGATAAAGTAATGAAAAGTATAATAATAAAATTATTAATTTAGTTTTTTCAATTTCAACAATTTTATTATAGATATCTGGCGACTGGTGATCAAGTATTATCGGTGGCCCTTGCTTATAGAGTAGGAGAGTCCACTGCTCATTATATCATAAAGGAAATGTGTACAGTCCTATCTCAAGTTTTATTGCCAATATACATGAAAACTTCTACAGAAGACGAATGGAAACATATTAGCAAGGATTTTTTAGCAGAATGGAATTTGCCCAATTGTATTGGTGCAATAGATAGCAAACACATAGTTATACAAGCACCAACAAATTCTGGATCAACATATTTTAATTACAAAAAAACATTCAGCATTGTTCTGATGGCTGCTTGCGGAAGCAAATACAAATTTACTTTGTTCGACGTCGGTGCATTTGGTTGTGAAAGTGATGGAGGAATCCTTTCCAGATCAGCATTTGGCAAGGCTCTATATGAAGGTAAATTAAATTTTCCGAAAGGAAAAGTACGCCTACCTGGCTCTGAAAAGGAAGCACCTTTATATTTTGTTGGTGATGAAGCTTTCCAAATGACGACAAACATGATGCGACTTTACCCAGAAAGGTATCTGAACGAACAAAGAAGGATCTTCAATTATCGCTTATCGCGTGCTATAAGAACAATCGAAAATACTTTTGGAATCCTTGTGTCTAGATGGAGGATATTCCGCAAATCTATATGTGCAAGCCCAGATGTTGTTGATAAATTCGTCCTAGCAGCAATGTGTCTGCACAATTTTTTAAAAACCAAAAATGACGAGAAAATACCACATTATCAAAGATATTGCTCAAGTCAATATGTGGATCGAGAAACTACTGAAGGGAACGTAATTGCAGGCGAATGGAGGGACGAATTAGAGCCAACAATTTATTAAATTTGACAAATGGTGTACATCGAGCTGCAAAAGAAGCATATGAAATGCGAGATATTCTCTCGTCGTACTTTTTAACCTCGGCTGGTGAAATTCCATGGCAATATGACTACATACGACGTGGACAATACCACGATGCACAATAAAAATCCTGTTTTTCATGTTTTTATAACAAATTTTAATTTTATTGTAACTTAAAATAAATGTAACTTATTGTAACATTATTGTAACTTTATTGTAACTTAAAACAATGCATTTTTTATATTGAAAACAATTTTATTTAACTATATAATAAAAGCTTTAGTAAAAGCTATATGTAATTAAAGCTTTATGTCATAAAAACTATGTAATAAATTATATTTTTATAACAATGTCTTCTATTATTCGTTATGCGAGTACAAAAGTTCCATAAACTTTCTTTTCAAGTTAGTCTTCATTGGTTCCGTCATCAGTTTGAGCTCCGCTGTCACAAGTTTACCAATAATTACATCCGGATCATTTATGTTATTATTTCGATTCTGTAAAACTGCAGATGCTACCGTATTCAACGTAGTATTCATTTCAACAAAGGCAGTTTCCATAGAGTCGACTTTGGGCTTTTTTGTGAGCCTGTTCGTTGCAGTGAAACAAGATGAAGGGGTGGGTATTCAACGTTTTCGCCGAAGTCGATGGCTTGTCTGTTTTAGAAACTGGTATTTTGGGCTGTAAAAGAGCAGATGATGGCTCTGATGGCTCTATCGGCGAAGGTGTGGATCTCAACATCGGCGAAGGTGTGGATGTCAACATAGGTGAAGGTGTGGATCTTAGCATCGGTGAAGGTGTGGATCTCAGAATCGGCGAAATCGACTTCGAACGTACCGATTGCAGTGGTAGCTGCATAGGCGCAGATGACTAAAAGCAATTAAATTTATAAATAAATACAGATGTCACTGCTATATTATACTTTTTAAACAGTTATGATTACTTATAAAAACTTAATTACAAATAAAGATTGACTCACATCAGGTATGTCATTGGAATGTTGTACAGATTGCAAATTTCTCTGATTTTCCATAAAAAACACAGGTGATTTTGTCAAATTTTTAAAGTTTTCCTTTTCTGACATGGGTGTCCCATGTTGATGATGTATTGAAGGAATGAATTGTTGCATTTGCGACACATCATCAACGCTATCATTATAAATATCATCTTGAATTTCATTTTGTGCAGGTTTTTGGGTAAAAGATTGGTTGTTAATAGATAAATTACCTTTTTCAGTGATGATGTTAGAATAAGTTCTAAAATCATGAAAGTATAGATATTATATTATATACATGTATATCAATGAAGCTTATAAAATATATTGAAGTAAAAGTCTACAATCATTGTAACAGAACGTAAAACAAACCTCTGAGTGACAATATTTTCTAAAAAACTTAAATTTTCATACAAAACCCATGTTTGTCGTGTTAGTTTTCCTGCTCCACTTCTCGTTTTATTATCTCGCAACTCCTTACTAAAACATTGGCGAAGACGTACCCAACGTGTTTGACAGTCCGATACTACATAACATATATTAAACATTTTCACTGTCATTCATACCCAGCAAACACAATATTACATGTAATATGCATGTTAGTTGTAATTTCCTACTTAACAATATAACTGTTACATAACATGTATGTTATATAACATTACATATGTAATGTTATGTTTGCTGGGTAAATTGTAATGTCCGCATTATTAAATTAGATATTTAAGAAAAAGGACAGTTTTTCAGTAGAAAAGATATAAATAAATATCTGATTAATTTGTTTCAATTTGCTTTTGATACATATATAAATATGCTAACAGGAACGATTACTTGATTAAAATAAATATATTAGAAATATTTGTTAGAAAAACTTATAGATTCATATTAGAAAAACTTATTTACATTGAACAAATAATATTTATTATTACTACAATATATATATTTGCTTATTGGAAAAATGATTTAAAAATATATTTTCAGTTAAATATAATTTACCTGAATTTCCCAAAATAGAAGATATTTCTGCCCATGCATTTTCTTTCATATTATTATCACGATATTCTTTTAATTTCTTATCATAAAGAAATGGGCGGATCATACCAGATCTATCAAAAGTTCGTCCCCATATTTTTGATTTTGTGTTAAGTATTCCGTATCCATGTCGTCAAGATTTTCGAAAGTGGTATCCTTCACTCTATCGTCAATTCTTCTTATTTTATAATAGTCATGAAATGTCATGTTTGCAATATTTTTCTTGAAACTGTTTGACACGCACTATATCCGTGAAGGAACGTAACCTTTAAAGAGCATGTTCGATAAAGCACTCTATAAAATCAAATCGTTCTGATTCGTCAGGTACAGGCAATAGAGAACATAAATCCAACGCGTCGAAAATTTTGTTTCTGTTGCCTGTTCCATGTTCCTATATTTTTCATTGTACATTGATATACGGTTTCCTATAGGTCGAAATCTATTGCCTGTGTTATTCTAAAAATCTCTCATGCCGAAAAGAACAAGAAGAGCCGGACGGCGGATTCAATTTAGACGTCTGTTGAAAAGTTATTATAATCCAGGCACGCTCGACCTGGCTGTTTTCAAAACAGATCCATCAAAATCTTCGGTCCCGAGAATAAAATCTGAAATAAAGGGAAATATATTTGAAGTTAAATTCAACACTAGCGAGAATATTATTATTTTTAAACCTAACAGTAACCCACCTCTAAAGGCAACAGATTCAAATAATAAAGATTTGGACAAGAACAGCGCTGATCCGAAGTAAACCAAACAAATCTAGACATTGCATGTTCTATGCTTGTTCAGGACGTAACAAGACCCTTAACGAAGAGCTTCTCCGATACGGCCGTCTTTACTCAACTGTCGATTTCCCAGTAGGAACTATTTTGAAACTAACCCATTCTTCTAGATCGGTTTCTGTTATTTTTATTCTTTTACGGGTACGTCACTTTTAGAGTAAGATATCATCTCTCTCTCTTTTCTCTGTTACCTCGCATAATCGGATATTCACAATTTTTTGTGGAGAAAGAGGGATTTCCAATTTATAAAAAATATCGACTATTGACAGCCATTCAATGGTGTCATCGCACCGAAATCTATCATTTAATGAACATGTCACTTTATACAGATATCTTTATTCTGTTTAGAAAATTTAGACAATATTAAGAACAACGTAAACTGTGTTATTCAGACACTCAAATGGCAACGAAAGAACATAAAGATTTGTCTGACATTGTGAAGGGAACTCATGCCCTGTTACGCGCTGAGTATCAGCGATATGGTGCTGAAGTAGCGTGGGAGCACCACGTGTCGCAAAATGACGTTTTGCAGGTATAACTTTTCAAAAAATTTGCATTTTTTTAAGTTTCAACAATATCTCATTATTTTATCGTTGGTTTACTTTATAATTTAAGTCCCATTACACTAAATTTCTTAAATTAACATGAGAAATATTAATTGTAATTCTAGAAATATGCTGTATCCATGCAAAAGTTGGCCACTAAATGCTGGATGGAGAATAATTTGAATCCAAGGAACGATACATACTGTAGAATAACATGGATAAAAATTCAGTGCAGGGAATACTTTCTCAACGGCGGCAAAAAGAAGTACGACGAACGGGAGCGAGATATAAGCATCAAGATGGCTCTGAATGAAGCGAGCAATGAAAATTTTCAAATCTCCAACGATAACTGCGGCTATATGGCAAAAGAACTACAAAATACTTATGAGCGAAGAGTATCACTGGATGTACTGGATGTAGGAAGTTGTTACAATCCTCTCGGTGACGAAGATATTTTCAACGTCACTGCGATAGACTTGACTCCTGCGACGAACACAGTTTTTCGATCCGATTTTCTGAATGTCGCGATCGGGAAAGAGAAGATTCTTTCACAGGATGAGCGTGAACTCCGTCAGTTAGCTGTGAATTCGTTTGATGCTGTAGTGTTCTCCCTGTTGCTGGAATATTTTCCATGCCCAAGACAAAGATACATCTGTTGCAGGAATGCCTACGATGTATTGAAAAATGGTGGCATATTGATTATCGTGAGCCCGGATTCTAAGCACGTCGGTGCAAACGCGAAACTGATGAAATCTTGGAGATACACGCTGAGTAAATTAGGATTTATGAGAATTAAGTATGAAAAACTGCATCATATACATTGTCTGGTATTCAGGAAATGTATATGTAAAAATGTAGCAATACGTTGGGCCGATCTGCATAGTTTCTCCAAGGATGATGAAAAATATATATCTGACGAGCAAATTTTTATTCCGCAAGACTTTCAGAATATTTGTTTTAAGGAAAAACAAAAAAATATTACATATGAATATGATAAAAATGACTTAATAAGTACTTTTTCCGAATTGCCTTTTGATAACAAAGCATTTCAATAAAAACATGTGAATGTGTTAATTATAGAATAAAACATCTAAATTAACTTTTGTATTTGTCTATTTGTTATAAACAAAAATTTTATAAGTAAATATTTCTTTTTTATTTTTAATACATGGATTACTTTCTTCAATTCATTAATTTGTATTTTCACTTTGTAAAAGTATTTGCAATTCTATGTGCTAAATTGGAAAAAATATAAACAAAAAAGATGCATTATGTTAGAGATTCTCTGAAAATTTGAATATGAGTACCAGTTCTGATTGATGTGGCAGTTTTTATTAACTTCTATCCATATTTGAGTTACACTAATATTATCACTGATATAAATATATTTAGCAATACAAAAAAAATATTGCAAAAGAATCAAATATAGTGTTCTTTATATGTAAAAATTTCTAATGATATACATTATAAATATAAGAAATCCCTTGTGGTTAGTGTTCATTGTATAGAAACAATGAAAAAGAATATATACAACCTTTACAAAAAAGTATTATTGGCTGCGATAAGTTGACTAGTGATAAATTATTGTTCAATAACTGTTATTTATATAAGTTTATTTATTATTTATATAAGTACAGAAATTATTAAGCGACAATAATTTATCACCAATCAACATATCCAGTAAGCATCAAATAACAGTAACATAACATCAATGTTACAATTTCCTATTTAACAATATAACTGTTACATAACATGGATTATATAATAATTATATTGTTGAGGAAATTATAACATTGATGTATATGTTACTGTTTATCTTTTCTAGGTATTACAGTTAATAACTAGGTATTACAGTTAATTACAGTTAATAATTTTTTCTAAGGAGAAGTAAAATGACAATATTTATTAAAGTGTTATTAATATTACAATAGAATAATAAATATTATTGAAATGCAGTATGCATTGCCACTGATTTATTACCATATCGATTTTACACAATATTTTTTAATTTAAATTTTTGAATGAAACACTTATAGTCTTGTACTACAAAAATTACTACAAATCATCTTATAATTTTGGAATATAAATCATGACACTAAAATATGCTCAATATTTACTTTTGAAAATTTTGCATTTAGAAATAACGTCAAATTAATGTCTTGCATATAATTAAAAAAGTATAATAACGAAATATCTGTTTCAATCATACAAATTGAATAATTGCAAAATACTACTATACATCTACCTATTTTTACAATATTTCACGTATATTAGGCGACTTTTGGCAACCCTTTGGTATATGTACCAAAGTATACCATACTATCCCACATAGCAAAACTTGATCCTAGGTACGTCCAATAGATGTATCACAAGTGATATCCAGTGAAGATTTAGTGATATCCAGAATACATTCGTAAAAGGCCGAAATATACATAGGATGTACCGAGACCGTCTTTATATCCGGTCATTAAACATCCAGAGGAAGTGATACGTGGATGTCATGAGGATATGTACACATAACAATATGTGATCCTACTAATATCCGTATGATATCTTCCAAGTATCAAAAGTGGTGCTAAGGACATCCATAAGATATATCGTGATGAATTCTATATATCCCGAAGTCATCCTTGCAATACCGAAATAGGCCCGGTTGTTCCAACTGAAAGGTAAGTTGATTAACAATTAAATCATATGCCTATCTTTGTTTTTCGTCCGAAATAAATAGAAATAGATATATAATTTAACTGTTCGTCAACTTACTTTTCAGTTAAAGCAATCGGCCATAGAGAAATAAATTTCATAACGGTTTAAACATATGTTTCGATACAGTTTGAAATGCAGCCTATCATCCAATGAGAAAACTACTTTTTCCAAAACGTGTTCTTATGCTAAATCATTGGCTGTGTTCCAAAGCACCAAGAACAAAATGCTCACACTGTTGTGAAATGTAATATACAAAATATGTACTGGATAATATAATAATATCTGTATGCATAAAAAAGTTTACTTATTATTTGAGAAATGTGTAAAACAATATTTATTTATGTTGCATATAACGAATAAGATGTATCATATGTTCTACAATATATATAACTATTACACAATATATAGTCCATTTCTTAAAATAAAAAAACATCAAAAGTATAAAATATTTAGTAAATATTAGACTATTAAGATATTAAGTGATTTATCTAAGTATTACGCGTTATTATAAAAGATTATAAAGCATAAATAATATATAGACTAACTTCTTTTTGTATTCTTTGTACTTTCTGGATATCAATTGTTCAGACATAAACAATACATGTTAAATATTTAATTAATAAAAACAAAAACTAATTACTGTATGTGAATGGATCATAGTATCAAATAAATTTGCTGCAATGAGATATTTATCATTATCAAAATGATTGTCATTACATTTGTGTTGTAGACCATATTTAAACACTCTCATATCGTGCATTGATCCTGGCATTTCAGCATAGCAGTGAATAAATTTCCTTTTTTGATTGCAAACTACTTGTAGACAAGATAAATGGCAAATAAATACTGAGTATGAGTTGTATAACATTTATGTTATATAAATTACTATTTGACATTTATATAACACAAATGTAATGTTTGTGTTTCCTAGATGTTTTATATATTTCTATAATTTAATTCACAAGTGAAAATATAGTACTTTAGAATGCTTTATACCTGTAGTTGTATAGCTGTATATGATGTCCTTTTCAATTTATGTATGCAAGTGCATTTTCTATTGGAGCTGCAATTGTAATATGTATCCCATCTACAACTCCAATTATGCCTGGGAAATTATATTTTTCCTGTATATACCTGGCAGTAACTTCTGCTTCTTCTAATGTTGGCCAATAAATAAAATAGTTCCGAAAATAACATAGAGCTTTCACTACTCTTTTCATAGCTCGTCAAGTAGTAGCATTTCCCACATCAAATTTAGTTACAACAGATCTATATTAAAGAAAGTTATGAATGAACATTGGTTAGAGAAGAATCAATTGATGGAAATATACAATAGTAATGAAACATAAATATTTACCTGTATGAATCAGGTGTTCCTAATACATATAAAGCAATATACAACTATTTTTCAGATGAAATAACAGGACCACTTTCCTCAGATTCCAAATATGGCCTCAAGATATTTAATAAAAAATAAAAAGTACTGCGACATATACTAGAAATTATATCCAACATTAAAATAAAAACGATTTACTTATTTTGCATGTTAATTTAGCGAAAATGTTTAAATTCTTCAGTGTCATAGGCATAGATCACATTTTCAATAAAATTTTTTATTCTTCATTTATTTTGTAATATTTATTTTTCTCGCAAAAAGTAAATTCAATATCTTCGTCATCATTGTCACTCGAACTCGAACTCGTAAAAGCCACGTTAAGCACTGTTATATTTTGGTTCATTTTTATACTATTACCCAGACAGCACAAGACATCCAGTGGATGTATGTTTCACGTCCAATTTATGTCCGTATGTCCGATTTACATCCGTGGACATAAATTGGACGTAACAAGGATGTCCTTATTAGACTTCGGACCTGTAGGACCTGTAGAACGTCCGATGTACGTCCATCGGACGTTCTGTGTCCGAAGTTGTGACAAACGTACGGTCGCGGACATAAAGGTTAATCGCTCATCGAGCGGTTTTCTCCGCTAAATGCAATGATTGTTGACATACTTATGTCATACCACGTATATTTCATTCTCGCCTTTCGTTGTGAGTTACTGCGTAGGCGTGCTCCGCAGGCGGTGCAGCAGCTCTCATTTTTCTCGAGTCGGGATGCGTCCCGAAAGTCATAAAAAAAAAAGTGACAACCTTTATGTCCGCGACCGTACGTCCAATGGACGTCTTTTGTAAAAAAAATTGACATGTAACGGACGTCCAATGTACATCCGTGTGCTGTCTGGATTATTTCTACTGTGGCACACATACACACACACGCACACACAGACACACATACACACATACAAGAGGTGTAAATCCGACCGTGCAACCTCCACGTGGTATACCTTGGGTAATGCTAATACCGGTGGTATTTTGACTTTTAAGTTCCATAACTGGAAAAGTTCTTATGGAAAGAAGATTTGTAACCAGTGTTTCGGAAACGTCTCAATGTCAGCTATAAGAATATGTAACAAAAAATTGGGGGTTCCATTTAAGATTTTTATGTCGACATTTCTTAAGGTCAAATAATTATCAATATCTGATAGCTTTTTTTAAGCCCTACAACTTTTGTTTCAAACATTGTTTTAAACAATCATTACTTTTTGAAATAATTAGCCGTTCCGAAACTTTTGGCAGACCCTGTATATATAGAGTGTTTAACAGCATCCTTATCAAAGCTAGTATATAGCTAGAATAGAATCAATCATGTGAAATTTTGAGATATTAATGATAAAAAATTTCTACCAAGAGAAAAATTCTACCAATTTCTACTCTTGGTAGAAATTTTCGTTAATATCTCAAAATTTCACGTGATTGATTAAAAAAAGACATCGATTTCATTATTAACCACAATCTATTCTAGCTATATACTAGCTTTGATAAGGATGCTGTCAAACACCCTGTATATGTATATATATACAGGGTGATTTGAAATTCCCGCATTCAGAGTACAGGACATGATATTTTATGCTAAAACAAACAGCTTTTTCCTTCAGCAAAATTACGTCCGACAAGTAGTTTTTGCAAAAGAACGTGTTAAAGTTAACGAATAAGTGCTCTTATCTATGTAGCGCTCAGAGCCAGCTCGCGCGCCTCACTCGCGTGTATCTAGTCAGTGAGTATTACGTACTAGTGTTCATAAGTAATATCTTTTAAGACGCTCATACGGCTCTATTGTGATTAGTTGACATTTTAAGATTGTACTTACGACAATTTTAAATAATAAGAATCAACTATAAACAATACCGGGATTTCACAATTCGCAAAGCATATTATTATTTACATTTGTTTTTATTTTCAAATGATATTGTGTACTCAGACAATTTTTTATTCATTTACGTAAGAAATAAAGGCAGTACTTATTTTATTATTTTATAACTTAT